TCTTTACGTGATACAAGGATATTTTGTTCACAAGCAATATTGTAATACAAAATGGCGAAACCAACGGAACATTTCCGCTAAATTGAGGCTCAAGTACGTTTTGTCATAACAGGGAGATATTGGATAGATCACAAAGATAACACAGATTGTGTTAGTATTACTTTTATTGTGGACATATAAAAAGTCAATATTGTTAAATAAGAAGGCACGTGTACTTAATCTATTAAATGAAATATATATAAAAATCAAAGTAAAAACTATTTGAACAAACTTATTGTTTTATATTTACTATTTTATATTTAGTATGGTAAAATATCCTACAACACCCTTGATCGAAAGCAGCAACTGTCACGTCGCCCACAGATATGAGTTATATCATGATCATCACAGAATCATTATCCTACCAGCCGTTAACTATCCACTATTGACATACGTGTCTTCTATAAGGAGGCCAGTAGGAGCTCCGCTTGGCGGACGGGTTGGTAACTGTAATTATACTGATAATGTTCCAAGTGGGAGGCTGCTGCTCATCTTTTGACCATTAAGTTCCCTTAGTCACCTTCTATGACACCCAAAGGAAAGAAAGGGTTGGCCCATTTTATGTTGGCACCACACAGCATCACAGAATACTTAATATTAATTAATTAAAGATTTTACTTTTAAATAAAGCATTACAAACAAAACACTGTGATGTCCAAAATCCTTTTATGAAATATCTTTTTATTGTCTTCATATATCCAAATATACTTTAGACAACTAACAGATACATTTAACCACTTTTTTGTAAATAAAAATAAAAAACAAATATGTATGAAGCGAGGATCGAACCCGCGTGTATTGAACACTACCAGTCTCGTCAAAAACAAAAAAGTATTTAAAGAATTTATGCACAAAAAGATAAATTATTAAAACTAACAATGACATCCGCTTGTCACAAATTCAGTTTTTTCTCCAAGGTTTTTTTTTTTACTTTCCTACACGGGTTTTCCATATCTCTTGCTTAATCGTGCGTCAGAAATCACATTTGGAGCTATGAAATACTGAGGGGACCTACCCAACTGGAAGCATATATCGCTTTTCTAATTTGAATAGGCGTATAGGGTCAGAGGTCCACAGCCCTCACTCAGAGAGTGTCACATAAATTACTACTTTATATGTCCGGTCACTATATCTTCGTGGATGAGCCGAGATAGAAGCAATAAAAATGCTCGCCTTTACATTGCTCTGAACAAAGGGATGAAATCGATTCGTTATGAAAAAGTATGACGATCGACACGGGAGGTTATATATTTTTGTTGCATTATTCGCCGCTCTATTATGGCTTTGTTTTATAATAAGGCAACATTAACATATTCTCCGTGCGGTCCCAGCATAGAATAGGCCACTCCTTCCTTTATATTTCGTAAGGGGTGAATAAGATAATTATATTATAAGGTCAAGAGATTCGCAGCAGCGTCCCTCCTAAAACATCAATAAAACCTAACTACGATTGCCAACCTGCCTGCCAAGCGTGGCAACTACTGGCAAAACCCCCTTATAGGGTAGCCTATGTTCAGCGGTATTAAAAATCCTGCTCCATACGAACCATAGTAGTATTTGCTTTGTATAATCCGTTGATATACATACGCTATTTCGTTTATATGATACCCTCTGTACGAAAGGTCTATTAAACACGGCGAGTTATGCAAAACAAATCCAATTGTGATTCGTATGAGAAAGGCCTTTTAAACCTTCTGACTTCTTCATTAGACAGCACACAGTCTCTCTGTTTAGGTATACATCAGTATTTGTATTCTTCCACTTTCACATTGTTTATTTCTTTTGTTACGAGTAACCTGTGATATAATATTTTTTTCACATGCCCGAACCAACATAGCATCATTTCTCATTTTAGTACTGACACTTTCTTTTAAGCTATTATTTGCTCCCAATCCACCAGCAGCCGTTAACTGTCCATTGCTGAACATAGGCCTTTCCTATTAGGGGGTTTTGCCAGTAGTTGTCACGCTTGGCAGGCAGGTTAGAAACCACAGTTAAGCTTTGATGGTTTTTTAAGAGGGATGCTGCGACTCATTCTTTAGACATTAAGTTCCTTTTGTCGCCTGTTACGACACCCATGAAAAAGGAAGCAGTGACTCATTTTATGCCAAGATCACACGACATACAGTGATATTATTTATCAATGTCAGTTAATGTCATCTTAAACGAGTATTCGTACATAGGTATATAAAAATCTATAATACAATTACATTTACCAAAAGCAATTAATCGAAGTTGTATTGCTATATACTTACTCGTAATGAAGTATTAAAATTATGTCTTTAGCCTCAATTCATAAATTCCCATAAATAGGTAGTTCTGCTCTAATTAAACTCCTAGATTTTCATTCAGAACAAGTTTTCATTAATTTGCTTTAATACTTTGTTATAATTGGAAAACTTATATAATTTATATTACGCGAATTAACGTTGCCTAATAAATGGCAGTTGCTGATTTATTATTATAAAATATTTAATTATATATTATATTATATAATGATACATATATATATATATATATATATATATATATATATATATATATATATATATATATATATATATATATATATATATATCCAACTATCAAACAAAAAGGATAATGTTTTTCATATTCTGTATATGTGTCGTAGGGAAATAAGAATATCAGGGATTTCGTAAAATACCTAGGGATATCACGAAATCACAGATTATTGGGAATGTTTTATCCTATTGTATCATCATGTTTAAAATGAAAAAAAAATGTGATAATTTGTCAAAATACTACAATAGGTCTAGTGACAGGTTGCTTCCCAAAACTAAATGTAGGATAGGGGAAATTTTTTGGCGTGGTTTTTATATTAGGTTGAATAAATTAAAATCAGTATCATATGTCCGAATATTTTGACACAATTTATGACTTTATTTATCCACTTTTTATTGTACTACTTAAGAAATAATACAAAAGTAATATTACACTTATGAAGTACAAAAGACGGTCTTATCACTAAAATGATCTCTTTATTGAAATATTTCTATTTATAACTGTTGGCAATATGTTTCAATGCTTGTTACTCAATCCTGCTCAAACGTCTGGATGTTGGATGATTAATTGTCCACTGCTAAACATAAGCCTTCCCCAGAAGGGAAGTTTCGCCAATAGTGATGTTTTAAGAGGAACGCTGCCCATTCCTCGACTGTTAAGTTCCTTTAGTCACCTCTTACGACATCCATGGAAAGAGAAGGGGTAGGTCATTCTATGTAGGGACCTACACGGCTAATGCGGACCATATAGGGGGTTAAGTTATAAAAATAAAAAAATCGCTAGATGTCCAAAATGTGCTAAATGTTGTAGTTCAATTTTTCTCTTCGTAAGATAGAAGGTTGTTATGAAGAGGAAGGTTCTTATGAAAAGGAAAATTGGAAAAATTGCCTAGAAAAACGGAAACATCCCATTTATCTTTTTCTCATACAAATTGTTCCTACCTACCAATTTACACGTTTTTTTTTTTTGATAGAACGACGTCTATCATGTCAGCTAGTGTAAATAAAAAATCGTGGCAGTAACTTTTCAAACTTTACAAACGTATTTTCAGTGTCTTTTCACCACTTTATTGTTGTTGTTACGTAAATCGTAGTATGAGAGCAAGAATTACCTACGCAAATGATACCAATTACCTATTTTCAAGGTAGAAATATGATACAACAAAATCCAAACCACAATGAATAACTAGAAGCGCATTATACCGTGCCAGTCTACTATAATCTTCTAATAATTAATTCTTTTGTGTTTATCTCACCCATTAATAAAATTTTCCTAGTAAAATTAAAATGTGAATGTTTTAAAGATACTTAGATGTTAAGATTTTACTTATTTTTCATATTTGTTAAATGAAATGGTAAACATGCTGACGCCTTTATAAACTGATTGAAAATGTTAACCATTGCTTATAGACTTTAACATATCCATAGATATAACAATATATGTATACTGTACCTTTCATTCGTAGTCATTTTTTAATACTAAAACAATAACATGATAACTTAAAAACAATGATAATGAGATAGAATAGAAAAAGTGAAAATTTCAAACAATTGTAAACTTCACAAACGAAAATGATTTTACTTTTTAAAACAAATAACCTTAATAAATTATTTTTATGCTATATATATATATAAACAGCCCAAAAATGTACACAGTAACATATCTAGACAACAATTAATAATATATCTAATACAATACAGAAGAATATAATTTAGTTTATGTGCTGCATATTGTGGGTTTTCTCCCAAGGAGTGAACATTAATTTTCAGCATTTATCCTTGTACGAATTCGTAACATAATTATACTTCTGTGTGGTGACAGAATAAAAACATATTGCGTCACTATTCCTTTTCATTCCCATGATGTCGTAAGAGACGACTAATAGTACTTAGTACTTGGTAGAAGAAATGTTGAAATAAAACCCTGTAACCCAGCAATTATATAAGTTATAATAAATTAACTAGACAATATAAATATGTTACCCTGTTAAGTCGAACTTCATGCGTCTTCTCTACAAGCCATTGTGTTTAATTAATAATAAATCGTTATCTTTGACAAGCTTGCGTAGTCTCATAGCAGCGCAGATAGGCTTGCCTTTCCATTTTCATCCATTTAAAAGAATTTCCAATTGAACAAAATAAATTAATTTCATTTCATTACATAATAAATATGAACCATCATATCTAGTCATTATCGCATTAACTAGACTCGGTGGTTTATATTTATTTTATGCACGACTTTCTTAAGAAAATTGTAAAACAAACATAGAATAGTGAGAAATGTGTACATAATTTAATTGAAACCACTATTTTAGTAGCGTTTTTAGACTTCAATTCCTTACATTTTTTGTATATAAATATCAAAAATATCCCCAACCTGTGAACAATATACAACCCAAAAATATTTTTTTTTATGTATCACCATTTTCTTCTTTGCAGTTGTGAAAAGCAGTATGCGGCATCAAACAACGTCGCCGCTTAGTAGAGTGGGTCCCACTGTGTCCCTGCGTGATGCAGAACCAGATTTCACTGGACCCATAGAGAACGTTACGGTCGCCCTCGGAAGGGAAGCTGTACTTACATGCTCAGTATCTGATCTTGGGGATTATAAGGTAATTAATTATTAATTTACTTTGTACATAAACCTTAAGCTGATGAGTTCCAATCTAGCCGATAATAAAATATTTTGATAATTTAATTTTCGAATTTCGACGTCCAATAATAGGAAATACTATCATCAAATCAAATTATTCCGAGTAATGGTAGTGTGTTCGCCCTCTGCCATGTTTGATTCAAATATGCTCAATCAAATGAGTATTATGTCCTTTACACAAACCCAAGAGATTTAGGGGGGAAAAGGATTGTTAGTAATGGAGACTAAGACTCCTATTTCTAGCAATATACCCAACCAGGTCGACCTCCTCGCGGTTCCCCTTGGAAACTATTATGGTTAATTTCTGATGAATTCATCATGATAGGCTAACTGGTCTGTTTTCATTCTCATCAATCACCCTTCACTGGTGCTCCGCCAGCGTATCCCGTTAGCGCAGGCGGGGTAACCATACCATTTTCACCCATAAAAAAACCCAAGAGGTTTAAATGGTAATAAAATCTCTTAAATTTTTTGTACGTATTTGCATGATAAGTAAATAAAAAAAAACCTAGCTCATATTTTTTGTATCAATCCAGGATGAGTCTTCTCTCTCAATGAAATATCATGCGTGGCTAACTAAATATGCAAACATCTTTACAGACTCTTACGTTTTTAGTATTAGTATTATATTATGGTAATATGTATAAAAAGGGTTTAATATGACTCCTACGGGAACGGGAGCTAATGGGTCCCCTTCTATGTAAATTAAGTTAAACAAATTGAGTCTATAACTTGTCTAGCTATTTTAATAATAACTTGGTTTCTTTAATACTTTTATCGACCTATCAACTACAAACATAATTACTGGCGTCTCGCTCCAGCTTCGTACTTTTTTTTAAAATAAAATACAGCCATATTACTAGCTTATAACGTAGATTTAAATGAAAGTTTTTTTATAATTGTATTTTTTAAGTTTATCTATTGCAAACCAGAAGTCAAATTATTTCTCTTTTACTATTAGTTTAGATTAATAGGTTTATAAATTAATATTCCATACAAGTCATTTCGATGGAATAAATAATTATAATTATTTAATACAACTATTGGTTCTTATTCTTTTATTCATCTATCCTACTTTTAATTTGAATGTAAATGTGTCTCCAAATAAATCTGTAATACAAAGTTTCAGAAAAAAAGTTTCTTTGTATGTTAGTTTTTTCGTTTATTTAACTGTCTACTGCATTAACTCAGTTGTGACATAGAAATAGAGTATAAAAATAGTTTATATAGTCATAAATATAAAAAAAACTAGAAGACGTAATCATTACTGATCCTTTTATAAATAGTACAGATTTATGAACATAATTTTAACATTGATGCGTTTACTTTTAACATAGATATTAGACTATAACAAAATTATTTATTATAATATATATATATATATATATATATATATATATATATATATATATATATATATATATATATATCAAAGGATAAATAAAAGTGCAAAATTGGTATCTGCTGCTAGGGACGTAACAACTGTTACAAAGTCAAGAGGGCAAAAGATTAAATATCTGAACGAATTTTTATGCATTTTGTAATAGTGAAAGAATATTTAAAGAGCATAGCATAGCAAATAAAAAAAATAGTACACAGATAGATCATATTGTACATAAACACCGTCTTACCACAGAAAAGATAAAGTTCTGATAGATTCATATTCAATATAGGTTTAGATATTTTACTACAAAAGCGTGTTTTAACTTCTGTTTATGTCTAAAAAAATGTCTTATTAAAATTGAAATATATTTAAAATAATAAATAACACTGCAATAAATATATAGATTTTGATACAAAATTATAAATAAACATTATAAAATGGACTAAAAAATAATTAATCACTTAGGTAGAGTTCTGTTACACACTGTTTAGATAAACAGTATTTTAAATATTTTTGTAGCAAAAACGGAAGAAATCATTTTAATCTAATTCTACCTGGCCAGTCACAGAATATAAGTAGACTAACTATATGGATATAAATATATCCTTTTTATACTTCAATGAAAGGTGTGGAAAATATTTTTTTAAGTATCCATAAACTTGGATTCAATTATATAAAGTTATACCTACGGTTGTCAATAGGGACCGTCCCAGTTGGACGTAATTGACCAAATAGGTGAGAAATATAGGAAAAGGGTTAAGAAAAAGTATTCGTAAGTGGAACTTGTATGAATAGATTGATGAATTCAAAGAAAGTGAGGGAATGTTGTTTGAATCGGAATGTTTGTCTTTCTATTAGTTTTTTATATCACTTAGTTGGCTTACAAGAATACAGCCCACATCTGCAATGACAGAGGCATTACGCGCGCATTGCCGATCCTGAAGAAACCTCTTTATCTCTTTTTTGAAGAACCCTATGCTGTAGTATTTGGAAAAACTTCGACAGGGAGCTTATTCTGTAACCTGAGTATTCGTGGGAGGAGATATCTCTGAAAGCGCACTGTATGACCATCTAGGCTCTAAGGTGATGGAGGTGAACTCCCTGTCGATGACGAGCTGTACGATGGTAGAAGGTGGTTGTGGGCATCATATTGAACAATTCTATTTAAAGTTTTATATATAAACAATTCTATTTTAGTTAAAATTGACTATTAAATTAGTATTATTAGTATTGAATACTAATGCTACTAAATTTGATGTCAAGACTGGTAAATTCACGAATACTAATGAAATAGCACTTAAAATAAAATAAATTATAATAAAAACAACCAATGATTAGAAAAACAGTAAAATAGTACTTAATTTAATAACACGTTTATCTATTTAAAGAGTCAAACTGTTTTAATTCTGAAATTTTATTAGTATTATAAATATAAAAATAAATTTATTTGTTTCTCATGTCTCAGTGTTAATTAAGACAACAGTAAAAGATTATCTAATTTAATAACATGATTATTTTTCTATTTAAAGAGTTACGACTGGTTTCATTCACAAATATTATTTATATTATAAACGTAAAAGTAAATTTATTTATTTGTCATCTCTTGGTGTTAATTAGGACAACTGTAAAATAATACCTAATTTAATAACATGTTTATTTGTCTACGCCACCTCTTGGTATTTATAATGATTTTATAATTATAATAACAATTAATTTGCTTGAAATGTGGTCTGTATGAATTATCTACCAATTATCTTATAATTTTATACACACCTACTATTTGAGATAAGAAGGGAAAAAGAAATATTAGAAATATTTCGGTCTCGCCGACCAAGTAACAGGTAGAAACTAGTTTAAAATATAACTTTTCTAAGTTCTGACTATATTGTATTTGATGATTTCTATTGTCTAGTATTATATAATATACTGGTAGAGCATTGTATTTTGAAAACTTAAACTCAAACTCAATTTTATTTATATTATTTAAAACCTATTCATAGTTTTGCCATAATTATTTAGGCATGGAGTAAATTAAAATAATACAATACGTACATACATATTTGTTACGTCTGTCTCTCATTAGGGTTGGCAGATTAATGGAACGCCAAATGATTCGATTTCGATTTCGGTTCGAACAAACCTCTTTCGCTTCCTCCACATTCATCCATCTTTTTATACACGTTCATCGGTTACAAATACTTTTACTTTGGCACTTCTTCAGCACGTAGTCTATTAGGTCGATATATGTCCATCTAGGTAGGCCCCTACCGACATCTTCTCCATTCTTGCTCGATAAGCTCTTTCGTAATTCTTCTTTTATGCTTCCTCTCCAAATGGCCAAAATGGCGCAACATTCCCTTTTTGATTTTTCTCACAACATCATCTTTCAATCCTCACTTCTTTCTAATCACACTGTTTCTTACTCTATCTTTTAATGTTACAGAATAAAATTAAATCAATGTAACAAACCCCTAATACATTTTTATTATTATAATAAAGTGTCATCTATTTAAAGCTACCAAAATATTCAATTTGCCGCAACGATGGCTTGGATAAGACGAATGTTTTCTTAGAATTTTCTTTTGTACAAATTATGTTAAAACAATATGTTCATTGTATAATTTCTCGTACTAAAAGCAATTACCAGACTGAAGACTAGCCAATTTGTATGATAACAACTGTATCTATTAATATCATGTCATTTTTTTTCTTGACATATTATTAAGTAGACGAGAGAGAACGAAGCAGAACTTGTATTATGGGTACTAAAAACTAATAAAAATACTTTTTTCTACCCTAATGGGAGACAGGCATGACAGATATGTATGTGTGTATGTATTTATGTACGTAAATTTTTTCTTTATGTATATGTATATACATAGAAAAAATCCAAACTAATACAATTTTGAAGATAAGTTGGTTTGGTAAATTACTACACAACCAAAGTCCTCGTAATATATGCTTGGCAGGCGAGTTGGCAACTGCAGTTAGGCTTTTGGTGATGTTTTAAGAAGAACGCTGCCCATTCCTCGACTATAAGTTCTTTTAGTGCCTTTTATGGCACTCATGAGAATATGTTTCTGACTAAATCACGTTTAAACAGTTGAACGGATTCGAAAGAAATTTGGTACACAGTTAAGTTATATTTAAAATTAACACAGGATCGCACGAAGCAGCTAGTAAAGTATATAGACAGATCTTTACACCAGAGGCCAAATAGTTTTACAATGAAAGAATTAATGCAGTATCTAAAGTTTAGAATCTTTGCTATTAAGTACTACAGTACATTCTTCTTTAGTATCTCACTACAGAGACGTTCTACAACAAAACAAAATTAATGATCTTTCAATTCGAGACTACTCTAAATGTCTGTCTAGCGAATTTACTCTTTTCATGTGTTTTTTCTGCTCGAATAGTAGAAAGTGGACCGTAAATAATCCTCGTTTATTGAGGATACATTTAGTGTCCTCTTCATGACAAACGATCTCGTTTTCTTTACAACCAATCGATCAATATAATGATGTCTAAATATATAGCTACCTGGAGTGTAGTTGTCATGCCGAATATTGATAATT